AAATATCGGCCATAATTTCCCATCATGTACATAGAGGTCATGAAACTAACCATCATAATACTAAACACTCTGCATATTGGCAAAGTGTTTGACCTGTAAAGTGAAAACATATTTCAATAGTATCTTGCAAAATATTGCTAAGTAATGATGACTAAGTCTGAAAAGCAACTGATAAACTAATTCTGTTCTTCCTGGTGCAGAAATAATAAAAACATATTCAGAAGGCTGTAAAAGAAAAGTGACATGGGATGACAAGGGGCTATCTCACACTCTGGATCTGTGCTCTTTATCTCCTGGTAAATCTTTTCTAGATTAAAAAATAAAAAGATTTTTGTTCTTTTGCCCAAGATGCTCGGCAACTTTGTAGGACCTGCACATCTGGAAAGGCTAGGATTTTTAGACGTGCAGCAATAAAATGAATCAGTCAACTGAGAGCACATATAAATGAAGCCAAACATTCTGAGAAATCTGAAGCATTAAGGAAGAGGTTTTTTGATCTGAGACATGCTTACATAGGACTCTTAAAGTGCTTCTTTTTTCATTCTTCATTTTTATAAGTATTTATGCTATACAAAAGTAAAAGCAAATCATATATGTTATCATATATTTCAAAGGGACAGAATCTCAATTCTACCTTTTCTCCAAATAAAATGTCTATATTCTGCCATAAAAAGTTTTAAGTTTACACTTACCAAAGAGCTGTTTACCTACACCTCAAGCCAATAGATGGTGTAAGTAACACAACTATATGTTTGGCGCTAAGACTGTTTCTCTCTTCATCCAGATTCTCTCATTTCACCCCAGTAAGACTGACACTTAGAAACAGCACACTGATCACTAATCCCCAAATAGCTTTGAAATGCCTGCAGCAAATCACAGTGTTGCTATGCCTTACAACTAAAGTATTTAAGTGGACAAAATCAAGAGAAGCAATGAATAGCTGCAATTCTTCTTTAACTTCCGTAGATTTACCCATCGCAACAAAGTGTTTGTGTTTGGGATCTTCTGGTCTCTACTGTAGGTCTCCTTTGAAGAGTAACTTCTATTCACTTAGATGTCCATTATTTTTCCCATTATGTTCATAGTTCTCACTCCTACCTGTAATTAGCCACAGCTTTCAATATTGCTTGTACCACTGCATATATAATACTTCCAGTTTCAGAAAGTAGAACTGACAAGTCCCATCAATGTTGATGGTAAAATTTCCATCGAATTTAATATGAGATAATTTAGTAAGGATTAAAAATCTAATCACTACGTCCATGTGTCATATAAGCACAGTTTAACCCCCAATTAACCTCTGGTGTGTAGATTTGTGCTTTTTAACTGCAAATGATTCTATTTCCTCAGTAAACAAAATTAGAAGTGAGAAATGAGTTATTCAACCTTCTCTTATTGAGCCAAACAATATTTCAGTGTTTTAAATCACATACTGCAAATCTACCACAAATTACAGCCCCAGCAAAATACAAATTAGGTACCATGAGATTTGTCTACGGTTATACACAAAGTGTGCTGTAGCTTAAAAAAAAAAAAAAAAAGCAACATTGAACACAACCTCCCAAGTCAAAGACTCACTCTCTCATGACTCTAAATGTAGAGTGTTGTGGAGCATTCAGAGATGGTATTTGAACAGATGTGAATGATAAGTCAAGTTACATATATACGGTATGGTGGATTTGCTCTTCCACCATCTAGGCAGAATTAGGATGTGTTTCTGAACTTGCTTAATCCCAAGGAACTCCTGGAGAGAAGGTGATTTTCTATGTTTTGGCTTGCATTCATAATATTTATTTGTTCTATGTGTTCATATGCTCAGAGCATGATTTCTCCAGAGGTTGGCAGATCCATGTAACACCATGAAGAGATCAGATGAGAACAATAAATAGAGTCCTCTATATGCATTGTAATTGATTGCTATTGTATTATATAATAACAAAAACAATATCAATAACCAAGTTCATAATCTTGCAAGCGAAAAACACAAATAGCACTCTACAGCTCTGATTACATTTTCTAAAATGTCATTCTAAAATAGCATGGAAAAAAGCACCACAGACAGATCTTTTAATATTGAAAGCAGATTAGTGATAATGAATGTTATTGTTGCTTTTTATGAAACTTTCCAAATACTTCTAAAATACCAAATAGACTAAACTGAACCAAAATTGAATGTTACGATGTTGTTATGCTAATATGGCTAAGGAAGGCGATAACTGCTTAGCACACAGGGAAATACAGATTAAAGCAAACTGGAGGAACCTGAGGGATTTAATATTACAGAAGAACCTATGGCACTTCTTTGGACCCTCTAGGGTTAGGCAGCAGCCAAATGAGAGTTTTCGGAATCATATTTTTGGGCTTGGCTAGACTGTAGTTGCACAATCTTGCTTTAAATGCTCAAGTCATTTTCTGGATTTAGCTTTTCAAGACTGAAACAATGTTCAAGCGCTTCAGCTGAAGCGGGATCAGATCTTAAAGACACAGGTCAAACGTGACCAGCATGCCTAAGTTACAGCGACCTGATTTTAGATGCAGGATGGAAAAGGTGGGAGGAAGCATGAGCTATAAGTTGTCTCTGATTTGACAGTAGCTACAAAATAAGCTGCATTGCTGCTCAAATCCAACAGGAAAAACTACAGTTCAATAAATAAGCATTCTATATATACCAGAAAACTGACATATTTTGGGTGGCTTATTATTCCAGGTTGAGATTCTTTGCAGATAAACAGTCTCTACCACAGAAAGTTTACAGTCTAACAGTGAAGATCAGAGTAGTTACAAGGGAAGGGTCAGGGAATACAAAGACAAAATACTTGCCAGTACACGATAGGGAGTTTTCATAGTCTTCCAGCAGCCCAGCCAGGATCAACTTGTATGATATGCCCATATGACTTTTGTGTTAACACGATACAGCAAGTTTTGAAGGAGAACACGTTCATCTTGCCAGTGTTTATTAAAAGATACTCACCAGAATGACAAGTAGCATTCAACAAAGCATATATGCATATTTTTTGAGAGTTGCAAACATACAGTGTAACCACCACCTTGGTCTCACCAAACAAGACTACAGAGGCCAATTGGTACAGGCTATGAAGAGTCTTAAAAGTCAGCTAAAGACTTAAAGGAAAAAATCCTGTAGTCAAAGGAGAATATAAAAAAACAAAGGTCTTCTGAATACCTACAAGCGGAGCAAGAACATATTCAAGAGCTTTAGTTGGGAAATTATCTAAGGGATATTACAAAGAATGAATTGGTAAGAGATGGGCATAATTTTAGTTCCTAAGCTGCTTGCATTAAGGATGATATTTAGGTTACAAGTCCATGTAGCAGGCAGGATGATGGTATTTTCCACAGTGAACAAAACCAAGATACTTGAAGGATGAGACAGGGCAGAGTACAATATCTACTCTGATATGATCCTGGCATTCCCAAGAGAGACACCAGAGAGAGACTAACTTTGTTAATATGAAAAAGAGAAAGCAGATCTGCTATACAGAAGCAGATCTAGGAGACATCCAATTGTGTTTGCAGATGAGACTATCCATTTTCCTCAATAGAGGCACAATATAAGGATCAAAGATGACTCCAAGCAAAAAGTTGAATGATGGTGAGGAAGATGATTGAAATTACATGCTAATCAAATAATTAGAAAAATGAGAGAAGGACTCATGGAAGTCAAGAAAGGATAAAGACTTTCTCATTGGAGATAATTAGCAGAGTCCAGATGTAACACTCACGTCTTTCGAAAGAAAGCCTATCTAAAGAATGAAGCAGACCTAACATCAGCTGTGATATCTCTCTTCTTATATTTTGATAGATTTAAAAATAACAAAAAAACAAAAAAACACAAGATGCTGATCTTTTCCTGGAAAGGAAAGGAGCATAGTGTGGCAGCGAGAAACAATTTACACAACAAATTCTGTGATCACAGGTTTAATTTCATTATATGAAACACACAGCTGAAGGGGTTTCTGTTCAAATAGAATTCACAAAAATACACCTTTCTGTGACATTCTTCCTGTATTCCATTACAAACCAGAGAAGGTGATCCCTACGATAATTTTTAAAACCTTTAATGATATAAAGCTTAAAGCCGGGATCCCCTCAGAGCTCTGTAGCTGGGCAAATAGACTTCCCTCACCCAAAACCAAACCAGCTTTCCTAAGCACTGGTTCCTGAGCATAAGGCCCAATCTCACTTCCATACAGCGCTCCACTTTTGAACCTTCCTTTTGATAAAAGATTACACTACCAATTTGTTTTTGAATGGTACTACCAGATGCACACTTTGCTATTAAAGACGTTGCAGTGAGTTCCTACTGCATATTCATTTTTTTTATGATACAGATGCATTTTTTTTCTGTGTGACATGGCTATATAATATACAGACAATTGACAATAATATAGTCTTTTTTTTCAACGGTTTCAGAAAACAGAAAGCTCAAGGAGCAGCCAACAGAAGTATGATGATGATGGGAGATCTCAGGAGCACAGAGAAACAAAGGCATTTTGTGAACACCCAAAAGATAACCTGAACACTAATAGCCAATGTCTGAAACCCACTCCTAAGAAATATTTCCAAAACTTGTTAATGGTATGTCAAAAGGTGGCATTTTATGTACTAGCCTTGTCTTTTTACCTCCTATCTCAAAGTTTTACTCCATTCTCCACAATTTCTTTTAAAAATCCAGGTTTTCTACAGAAATGTTCCAAATTACTTCTTTTAAAAATTCTGAAATCTTCATTTTCACTAATAATGAAGCTCTATGAGGGCTTAACTATCACGTTCCAGAAACAACACAGCTGCTACTTGCATGTTTAGCAATTCATTATCATGGAGTGAATCTGCACAAGGCAATATTATTTTCTGAAATGAAAATGTAATAAAGATTAATTTTCTTTTCCTTTCTTATTCCCTTCTCAGGAAATTTCTTGTTCTTTAAATGGTGCTGCCCAACTGTGCCAAAAATGGCTTGCCAAAAATTAACTTTCAAATACCTTGACAGTAATGGTTTGCACATTGCTCATCCTGGTGGTACCGGAGACGTGCTGTTCCACTGCCTTCCTGGATTCTTTCACAGTTCTCAGAATAAGCGAGTAGGAAGTGATAATTACCCCACAAGGGAGAATAAAACAGAAAACAAACAGAACTACAGTGTAAGACATTGACACAACATTTACGTTGGTGGAATGCCAGTCAATGCAACAAGCTGTGCCATAAGGCTCTGCTCCATATTCCCCCCAGTGAGCTAAGGGAGAACAGGCAAAAATTGCTGCGTAGGTCCAAGCACAGGCTATCAAGATTTGTCCATGCTCTCTCCTGAACCTGCTCCCTGGAAGACACAAAACAATCAGTGACGATCAGCATACAGTACTGCTCTAAATTCTAACCATACAGTCCAAAGGTCTATTAATAGACCTCTTGTACTGCACACGGGTAGTTTTGTTTTATTTAGCTGCATTGTTTGGGAATAATTCTAGGTAACCTACAGATTCCTTCTTAAAATATTGTCTGTAAAATAACTTAACTGCATCTGCACTGAATTCATCACCCATTATACTGGCCAATTATAGTCTCATTTCTCTTGCTATCAGCTGGGGTGCTGTGCTTGTTTTGTTTTGAACACAAGCTGTAAGCATTTTCAAGAAGGGAATGTCTTTTTTCTCTGAACTGTCTAGCACTCAGCACAGCAGAGCCCTGTGCCACGATCAGAGCTCACGCAGAATGAGCTTTAAACACTCTGAAAGTTACACGACAAGTGGACCAAGTCTATGAGATATGTTCGGGCATTCTGTGGGACACACCTTTCACACCCTTCCCTTGTTCTCTGCCAAAGGAAGCTTAAGAGGTAGGGAGGTGGAGACTTAACAAGAAGTGTTGGTCAGTACATGAAAAGAAAAAAATAGAGAAGTAGAAAGAAGCAGCAGGATTATCCATCCAAACAGTCACTTAGAAAAACAAGTTCTCAGACTGCAGAAACATACTTCTTATTTTCTGACTCAAAACTAAGATTACCAGTAATCTTGGCAAAGAAAAATTATGTTTTTGCCCTAGAAGAAATATTAAAGATTCATGGGAACCCCCCAGGCAGATTTTGTATCTGGCCTTGGTTTCAAATTTCCAGAGAAATTTCAAAAGAAAAGCTGGCACTTAGGAAGACCTCACTAGGTATTTTTCTACATTGACCACTGCTATACTAGAAATCTTAATCTGTAGCTGTGTTTACTTTTGTCCTAAGTTGTTCATATACTAAATCAAGATTTATAAAGTGCCTAAGAATGATCTGTGTCTCCCAAAGTGCTTTACAAACATTCACCAGTTAGCCTTCATTTTTCTTTGATAGCCCAACAGTCTGCTATAACAGTCTGATTTTTAGATGATGGCGAGGTCATGTTTGAAGGTAAGGTCTTCACTTGAAATATTTCTCTCTCAAATAGTTAACAGCTAGCAGTGCAGCTGGTGCTATTTGTCTATGCTTATGATGGTCGCATAAAATTCTTACAACACTACCCTTTCTCCTATTTAAGGAATAATTAAAAAATTGCAAATCATCTTCTACGTTAAACATTACCAACAAAGGTCTTAAATTAAAAACAATGGTTATGTCACCAATTAACATAAATCATGGTGACACACTAGTTGTGTGGTAAAATGCTGTTCTCAGGCAACCGAGAGAATTTTGCTTGTCCATTCTTGTCTCATTATAACCATGAGATACTCTAACTTTAAAAACGTCCTTCTGTAGTAGCATCAGATGCTATGTCAATTGCCTTGTCTGAATGGAATTTCCCTTATGCAGACAAGTGAGCAGGGTAATTAAGAAGGGTAACTTCAATAGGTGTTCAAAATTTTAGAAGGTTTATAAGACTGTCTCATGGTTCACAACAATTTGCAGAACATGAGGTATCAGAATTCTCTGATACATCTAAGGTGCTTAGCACAACACTAGCACAACATGAATCTGTAACAAATGTAGCAGTAAACTGTGAAAACATTAATATATTCAGGCCAGTCTTGCATTCATTTCAGAACACTAGTCCATGTTTCCAAATTGTCCTCCTGGCTCAAAAGAGCTTAAAACTAACAGGCTACATCTATCTAGCCCTACAGTCAATTATCAATGATTACAGAAATATGAATTGTTTGACTCGATGTAAAAGACCTCCTCTGTAAAAAATACTCTCCAGGGTATGCAAACTACAAGTGGTGATCTCTGTTCAAGTGAAAAATATCGGATAATCCAAGACAGAAACATTAGCTTACCATAAGCTGGAAAACAAATTTTGAGGCAGCACACAGTGCTCAGTAACGTCAGTGTTGACAGACTGCAGATCCCGAACAGTACCCCACAAAATGCATAGAACAAGCAAATGTGTTTCCCATACAGCCACCTAGCAAATAATCAAGAAAGTTAATACTTAGATGCTGTCGTTTAAATGCTGCGCTTAGATGCTGTGCTTTCTTAAATGTAAAGCTAAATGGTAGAAATACAATTATAATTGTAGTCATGAACATTTAATAAAACTATATGATTTAATTACTTATCAGTCAGGGATGAACTGCAAGAGGCATTCCCAATGGAAAAAAAACAGTAGTAACTAGTCAGCAAAAACAGTCAAACCAATAAAACAGTCAGGAATTTAGCCATATCCCCTTTATTTTTAAGATTCACATTTCAGTCTTTCTATTTTTATAAAACAAAATAATACATAATTTCATGATAATCAATCTGAAAAGAAAGATCAAAATGCTTATCACTAGTAGGTCATAAATTACTTCTGTTCCTCATCATTACGTCTGCTAAGTAGTAAGCTAGTTGTCATCATTATCAATGCAATCGCTTAGGAATCTCCAGTGGAATGAAAATTCAATCATCTGAGCCACTGTATCTCTTCCCTTTCTATTCAGAAATGTGCATGATTTGCAGTAGCAGTTATCAAAAGCCCCATACCAGATTTTGAGGCTCTTGTCTCCCTTAATCATAACGGTATATTTAGCAACATTTAACACAAAGTCCTGTGGTGAGATACGAGTAATTACTGGATTTTTGTTTATTATTATTATTTTAGTGACAAACTGAGGGAGAACTACACAGGGCAAGAACAGAGAAAGAAAGATTTTTTTCATGTCAAACCAAATATAATTTTTAAATTTTCAGTAACTGAAAAGGAAAAAAAATAGGGTTAAAATATGTATACTTTTACCAAGGAGAAAGGAAGTCTGAAAACACAAAGGACATTCATAGGTACAGGTGGGCATAATGCTCAGAAATAAGCATCTACCTCTCTTTCTGCCTCAGGAATAACAACTCAGACACCTTTGGCATAAGAGATCTGGATTCAGATCACGTTCCTCCAAATAAGGTCTTTCACTTCCTAGCAGAGTGACCTAACCAGTAACCCAAAAGTTATGTTGGGTGAAGTGCTCTCAGTCTCTTTTATTCAATCTGTTCTACTTCGTTACATTATTAAGCACATCACAACAGGCTTTGGATCTGCATTACTGTGTGACTGTTTAATCCATTACGCTCTCAGTCTCTCTCTCAACAAATAACCAGCTGAACATGGAAAGACTCTTTAACTGTTCCACTGATAACTGTACCTTTTCAGTCTGCACTATCAAGTCCAGGAAGATAGTTTAATTAATAGGTGCAGTTATTCCTACTGCATAGGAACGCAAGGAGAAAAAAATATATAAGCGTAAATACATTTAGTATTAAATTCTATGTAAAATAAATCTCAGGCTTCAGTGATATAAAAGTTAGGACAGCTACCTGTCTCATCTGTCTCACTCTCCCAGTCTCAGGGTTTTGAAGAGGTCAGCGCAGCTCAGAAACTCTGCAGCATTTCCCAGTAGCCAAGGGTTCCCACCCTTCAATGTAGCTCTTTTTCAGACACTCGCACAGCAAGAGCTGAGCCACTGAAACTTATAGCCCAGTATATTAGCATAATCTAAAACGAGTGTCAATCTACCACCACGTGTTGGGCTGGAAGCTGTGAAGGTTGAGTTGCTGCTGCCCAACCAGCCAACACATTGTGGGCAGCTAGACCAGAAGCCTTTGAGAGGGACAGCAGGAACACTTGGCACATGTGGGCTCAGCCACCCCTACTCAGTCATCAGAAGTCTAATTCCTGTGGGCAATACAATGAATAATACAATTTCTGTGAAAATTAAATTCATTTCCATTCTGACTGCAAGATCATTTCTCTCATTTTTTTCTCTTCAGTTTATTTCACGTCCATACTCGGTTTATATGTCTCAGTCACCAACATACTTATTGCCAAGGTAGTTCTTTCAGGCTTCTCTTTTCCTCAACACACTACACATTAATCAGCTAAAGCTTTTGATTCCTTTGTTATTTTAAACCAATTCTCTCCTAGGAAAATCCAATTTGAGTAACTAAAGATTTCAGTTTTCCTGGACAACTTCAATGCTCTCTCTGTCTAACCAGCAACATTTTATATATCTGACAATCTTTAGAACTCTACAGAACTTTTTAGGTTTCTCAGTAAAGTGTGTCGGGAAGCCAAAACACTGCATATACATATCCGTACAGTTGCAGTATATTCTGTAAAAGTTGGGACAGACCAAAATATTACAAATACTATACTTTCTCAAACTCTGCAGAATAACTCCTGACAAACAGTTCTGATCTGCTTACACCCTTCTTACCTAGCTCCCACCACCCAAAGACTTTCATAGTGCCCACGTTGCGCAAATACTGTCTGAGGTCTAGCAATGAACCTCTTAAAGCTCCTAAGCTTTAAAAGAAGATTACAAAAACTATGTTATACACTGCTATCAGGTTAGACTCATGTGGATAAAGAGAGGAGAGGTGGAAAAGGAAGGAGAAAGTTCTAAACTCAGGGTGTAGGCTTAAACATTAATGCAGAACACTAAATGTCTATTCATCATCACTATTGCTACATTTGGGGACCATAAGCAAATTCAGGGTTTTATTTTCATACTGCAAAATTTAACTGCCCACTTAAAAAAAAGAAGCATTTCACCATTACTTGAATGACTTGTACTGACAGAGAATAAATGCAGTTGGTAGTGGATGTTTGGAACAAAATCTTCTCAGCCCTGCAGAAATTAAGATGATAGCATCTTCAAACAGATGCAAATACTAATAAACATCACCAGTTCGTAAAGCTGCTGTTACATAGCATACTTCTCTCAATCCCTCTAATTATTTTCCACCATTCTGACAAGCAGAGCAGCAGAGTGATTCAATCCTCATCATTGACACAGACCTCCAGTGTCTGCAGAGGATGTTAAATATCACGTGCATAGCAAACAAACCTGTGTGAAAGGCTGGAGGTTACAGCTAGAGGATACAACGTCAGAGTCATACCAAGGTCACTGATGGCAAGGTTTATAATGAAGTATTCTGCTGGTTTCAACAAATTCTTTTTCTTGTAGGAAACATAGAGGAGAATACTGTTCCCACACAAGGAGCATACTCCTGCAGAGAAATACACAATATGAAGAAATAGTTACTTCCAGACATCCTCCTTTTTTCTGCACAGGAATAATGTGCTGCCAGCTTAGCTAGCTTTTACAGGATGAACTTTTCTCTTCCTTATGTTTGAGATTTTCTCTTTTTTACATCTCATATTTTTTGAATCTTTTAATCATCCTTCCAGGTTTCTTCCTCTTTTGTCCAAACTATCCATAGAGATCAATCATTACTAATATCAAAGTGCCCACATGCCTTCAAATGAATTTTATCCATTAACTAAGTGACCTGCCAAAAAAACACTTTTTCTGTAGGAAGCTGGCATGAAGTGAGTGGCTATATCCATCTGCCATTGCACACACTTCCCCAATTTCAATTTCAAGTGCTCTCCACTTACTAAACCTTCTTCCTTCCCCTTTGAGGCAGTTTCTCAGAGATGGTCGTTATAGTTTCTAGTAATAATAGATGATACAGCAAGAATATTAAATCATGCATGAAAGAAAAATGTAATTAAATAATGTCTCTACTGTGTGTAGATAGAACAATTTTCTCTGGGATTGCTAGTGTTAGTATGGAAACTGCCCACAGATGACAGAAGCATAAAAAGGCTAGAAGTAGTCTAACTGAAGACAAGCAATTTGCTCTCTACCTTTAAACTAGCAGGATTAAAACCTGTGACAGATCCACAAAGTCAGATGAGAGTTAGCTGACCACCAGATGAAAAGGTCAGACAGAGTCAAAAGACAGAGTTTTAGGTAGCCTTTTTATAGATATACAAGGTTCATATGTAAAAGCTTCAGAAGCCCAAGGACACACAAATGCCTAAGGAATGGGTGGGTGTCTTAATGAATACGTCCTAAAGTTAAGCTGTTTAAAAGAGCCCAAATGCCTTGGTGGATCTCACTCCCTGTTCCCACATCTTTTGAAAAAGCACCACCTGACAGGCGAGGTTAGCAAGTTGCACAGAGACATATACCACAGACCAACTAACTCTAGCTCTAGATTATAGCCAGAAGAGAATATGCCTCATTTAAAAATTCTCTCATAGGTTAAAAAAAAAAAAAAAAAAAAAAAAAGAAATTATGTAATTTCCCAAATGTAGTACAGATTATGACATTTTCTTTTAAAGGAGAGAGCAGATTAGCAAGTAACATTAGTCATTGATACTGAATTCCTTTCTATCCCTGACCTCCTTAAACCCATTTAAGATACTTGTAATTTGAAATCTTCTGGAGAGAAAAAAGATTTTCCTCTTGATTTCTACTACTAGAACCGTGCAATAATTTTGTTCTAAACATTTTTCTTCCAAAACTTCAAAAATATAACAATAAAAACACACTATAAGGCACACTTCGTTTGGCTTCTCTGTTTGCCTTTTTCTACCATCTTCTGAAGCATCAGACACCAGCCACACCTAGAGATAGCACTTAGCTGGGGTGATCCGTGCTGTCTTAGATGTTTGAGTTGCATGTCCTGCCCTCTGGTTCATGGTTACATTGATCAATAGCTTTAGGATTGGGTCTGACTTCTTCTCCTAGCTGAGATCAGGACTATGGAGGACAAATTTGCCTCTGCTGTGGCAGTATAGTCCACTTCCTAGAAATCTTACAGTGCCTGCAGACATCAGCCATACCCCCGTTCTTTTCTGCACCTTTCCTAGACTCATTATAATTGTGGCTTTCGGTATTTTACTTCAGGCATTATGCCCTGTCGTTTAGACTCAGCAGTGACCGTGCAGATGCCTAGAACTGCCAGACTTCCTAATACTGAATAAAGTTCTTGTTCCTAATGTAAATCACAGATTGAAAATCTTTTGGTGATGTCACCCAATGCTTTTTTTGTTTTTCCTTTTATGAAATTTTAAAAGTTCCTCTGTGTAAACTTGAAGTAAACTTGAATTTCAGGTTGCTTCATTCTTCTGACATTCTCCAGAATACGAAATAATTATCGATGCAAATACAGCAAAAGCTCTATAAAAATCCTTACCATTAAATTATACTTACCAAATAGCGCATAACATATTCCAACAACAATATCAGCTGCTTCTGTTATTTTGGACTGGAATTTTGAATTAACAGAAGATGGGCCCATCTGAAAAACAAAAAAACCCCATGACATTAGAAATTCAGCATCTAAGGCACTTGTGGGCTTTCTATACAACTATAAGCTGTTTTATGGGGAAAAGGAGAATTTCATTTTATTTTATTTTTTGAATTAACAATTAATTTACAGATGAAAAAAACAGCCTAGAGCTCATGCTGAGATAAACTAATTTCTATTAATTTGAGGGACTCATCTAAACATGAAAACATCACAACACTACAAGACCAACTGGAGATCAAGGGTGCCTTAAATTTTTCGAAACATCGCTTGACACAGGTTCAAAAAGGCTGACTTCCAGAATACTATTCATCAGCACTTTACAAGAACTAGAGCAACCAAGGCAGGAAATCTTCACCACAAGCGGTACAGAACTGAAAATATAAACCTAAACAAATAAAAAATTGTAAGATAAATGTAGGAAGAGCATCAAAATAACTAATAGATGGAGACAAGAACATAAACATATGAGATATTTCTATATATACACTAAATTCTAAAAATTATTCATACCACTTGACTCTTAGCTTTCTAAGTAGGGGTAGATGAAATAAATTCTCTTTCTTCCACATGCATTTCACCTTTATTTCCCACTCCTGCCCTCCACCTATCTGAATCTGCCTCCGTGAGTTTATCTGTTAACCTACGTACAGAAACTTGCATTTCTCCAGCCCGGAAATTGGCAACATACCCTCCTTCAACGTACAGCTCCTGCCACTTCCCTGATTAAGCTACAACACATTGAATTCCCTCACATTTCAGGGAGTGGGTTATGAAATTTGAGAGGGTCTGTATTTCAGGAATCTTATCAACTTTGAACACAACTTCAGGCGTTAATATAAAGTCTTCAGCAAAGACAATCATTGTATGATAGGAGCAGTCAATAGGATATTGTACAGCTTTTCCAAAAAAAATCCTTTGTGTAGACAATTATGCTAATGAAAAAAAGCTTCACTCAATTGTATTTATGTTGGCCGGGGATACGTATTGGCATACCTCAGAAAGACAGCAGAATTACCACTTGTTGGTATCTGCCATGCCTGTATTCAAGGATTCTGCAATGAGGCAGGCTCTGTGACTCAGTCCAGACCTTACTGCCCATGTGGATGAGTGCAGTATCAAAGTGAGGACAATAATTTGAGATAAAATGGCAGTATGCCTGCTAGAGCCAAACCCAGCTACCTAGATGTTCTCACATACAGGGTTTAATACTTTATCCAAGTTCAGAGCAAACACCTAAGGTGGAGTCATCTTCTAGCACTCTCAGAAAGAGAGGAAGAGGACTAGTGAAGGCTTTTTTTTTATTATTACTGTTATTATTTTTCTTTGTCACAGATGCTATTGCTTTATGATGTTAACAGTATTAGAGAGATTATCTGGAGCTATTTTCAGGAGATAGGGCACACTGAAGTTACAAAAATAAAATGTGATGCCAAAAGTTCAGTAAAGTCTTCCAGATATATTCATAAGCCTTTGCCTTGGGTAATGACAAATACACTTCCACTGCCAGCTACTTTTCACTTTCTCTTTGCATTAAGTTTCTTTTGCAAAGAGAGGTCTTGTCTTCCGCTTGACAACTGCAAATAGCAACACACTCTCACCCTGTCCCTAGCACAACAGCTGACAGTGAAGCAAGCAGTACAGTTGTACACATTTGGCTTGAAGGTAGCTTGTGAAATGTCAAAGAAAAAGTGCCTAGAAGAACACAGCCACCTTAACCACCAGCTAAAGCTCCTACTTCACATAGCACTTAAATCCCCTGGGCTTAAGCTAACTGATGTGTATCCACATTAAATAATAATCTTGTAGCTGTATTTCATTCTTTCAGTGTAATAAGGCAGAGTATCTAAATTCAGCTTGTTCAACTTCCCTACAGCTTCCCTTAAGATGCTTGTTCTCTCAAAGGTTCATCAATTGTTTCTACACAAACCCCTGTTTCTTCAGCTGCTATAATCCAGGCACCTCTACCGAAACCAAATAGGTTGCACTGTTTGTTCACCAAATGTTCACTCAGGAGGAATTTTAAAGCTACTATATATCACTCATATGATTTATATTTTAATTCTTTTACTAATATTTGTTCCATTCATTAAGTAGAAGCAGTAAGCATGATTTCACATTAGAAACTTCAGCTTTAAAATTTTCCTAGTGGCCACTGCTAGAGCATGTGACTGCCCTCAAGAGACAGTAACAAAAATAAAGATAGGACATTCATCTGCTTTTCCCCCAAGGCAACCTATTCAAAAGGAAAGGCTGAGCTCATTTCAGATATTAGTGCTACATTTTCAATGCTCTGTTCTATCAAAGTCAAATTTGTTATTTTCTGAAAGGAAAGACATCCTATCCCTGAATATGCACTTCCTTTAGCTGGTCATGAATTCCTGAAATCTACTTAAGCGTGTGGTTTTTCAAAGTGGTCTGCTTGCTTATCAGAGCTAGACAGTCTTAGATTTTATCCTTATCATCTCTGGAATAGCAATTTGGAGAATGAAATCTCACGCTGAGAAAGGAAGAGTTTTATTCAAAGCGCAGAGCCAGGCAGAGGACCATCTAAGCCAGAAGTTCAGTACTTCAGAAAAGTCATTCAGACATGACAAAAACAGGCTGATATTCCCAGTATATGCAGTCTTCCGCATCCAAGAAGTTCCTTCTTCCAACCCTACTGCTAATTTGGCTTTGATGGGAGCAGCTACCACTTTCCTGACAAGATAAAAAGATCTAACTCAGAAACGTCAAGAGGTTTTTCACACCACTATCAGTGTGGCTCTTGTTCTCTCATTTACTTTATCGGTTGCTGGATGACCTTATCAAATTGAAGACAAAATTCCTGTTCCAATAATACCATAGTTTTCACCCAACACTGTAAATTAAAATAACTTAATCGCTGTCATAGTTTATTTCATTCTTTCTGTTATGGAAACCATAGTCCCTATAGTTGGGCCTACTGAGTTCCTCTGCTGACATATCTCCAATGCCAGAGCTTGTGTAAAGTTTGTGTGTCAACTGTGCTGTATCAAGAACTGTAAGAGTAAGTATTTGAGCTTTCTGTTTGTTATCACAGTTACATCATGAAAGCAGATTCGGGAAGCCCAAATCCAATTCAAGCGAAACTATTCTCATCCTCCTAAACAAAAACCCAAACACCTCCGTTAAACAACATTTTGATAACCACCTGAACAGTCAGTTCAGACAGTTATTTGTAGTGCTTTGCAATCTTTACATTTTTCTAAGCACCAAAGACATTTCTTCCTTTTCTTTCTTCACCATAATTTAACTACAATCACACCTTATCAGGAACAGTAAAGCCATTTTCCTCATGAAAATTCCCAGACTGCTAGATTTTCTCCAGAAACCTACCATCCAAGCAGCTCCCACATGCACCTATACTTTTGCAGATATTTGCAGTAATTTTAGAGCTACGCACAACCAGTCATTAATTTTGTACATCAGTAGTCAACAGGTCTTAGTCCGCTACATAAAGAAGCGCTTTAAAAACAAATTATGAAAAAATATTTAATCAAATTATAATTTAAAACCAAAAGCATCTCTTTTAGAAAAGATAGATAAAGCCATCTTCAAAGAGGGACTGAAGAAAAAAAAGAACTGTACATTGACTCTTCAAAAAAACTCTTAACACTGACTAATTGTGTGGCAGATTGCAACGACGGTAACTGATATGCTGGCAGATTGCAACAAAAAGTTTCACTGACAGCTTTTTGTCCAAGCTGATGGACAATATAATGACATTTTTGAGAAAGACTTTACCTCTATTACCTGTAAAATACCTTACCTGTATTTTTCTCCTTCCTTCCCTTACCAGCCAGGACTTCCCAAAATATAAGTTTGTCACACATCTAAATGAATGTATGCAAAATCAGCTTCATTAAACCTTTTGACTGCATGTTAATTATCACAAACCAAGTAACAACTTAGGTCTGGGCATCTATACTCAATGCATCAGTTCAGATAAATTAGTTTAAAAGGCAAACTTTTAGTTAAATTGTTGTCATTGTGTATATAAGCCATAAACCTCTCATTTTCTCCTTTCAAAGTCTTCTATTAATTCCATATCTTCCACCTTCCCTGAACAATATATTCAGTGCTTTGCTCCTTTCCTCCTATATATACATGTTAGTTGAAGACGTCTAAAAAGGCAAAAGTAAACAGCAGATGGAGCAGCAGGGTAGCAGGGGATAAAGGCAACAAATGAATACAGTCTAATAACTCATCATTAAGTGAAAGTATTTGTGATAACTGCTAGATACTATTTCAAATTAGTGACATCAGCACATGACTAAGAAGGAATACAAAACGGGTAAAGCTTCCAAACACACTTCTAATTATATGTTTTCTACTAAAGCAGCACAGTACATAGCCCTGTATGAGGCTTGTTCGAAACAGGGCTTGCACCCTTTTTAAACACCTGCATCCACTAAATATGTGACATAACGCCCAGCTACAAAGCCTCAATTCAATTAAAAAATAAATAAATAGAAATCTGCCCTTTTTAAAAAAAGGTTTAGTTCTCAATAATTCTGACAAAAAATTATGATAACAGAAGATAGACAAAGGAACTTTGACAAATTCACAATGTACGAAAGATTCCTGAAAGAAGGAGCACATAAAGGACTTAACCGATTGTAAAGACTTTGGAAGTAGTAACACTATCTGCTGTAAAGATCTATTAAATCATGATCAGTCATTCACTTGCACAAATGAACATTTCCATATACTTTTTTTTTTTTGGTCAACAAGAATATCACTCATGTTGCCACTTCAGCATGCAAACACAAAGCAAGCTGGCTATGCATGGATACACAGAGGTCCTATCATCCTTCAACCTTATGAAGAATTATCTCAGAAATAAATTTGGTTTTTTCACTCTAGTTATAAAAGCCCATATTTTTGGAGCACAGGATTGAAATTGTGCTCATCCGCAGCATCGTGGCACTTCATCTTCTGTAACACCAGCTGGAAGGACTAATTAGAAG